AGGGCGTTCCCGCCGCAGAGGGTGGCAGGAAGAAGGCTCATGGGGGACCTTATCGCTCTCTACAAGGGCTCTGGTCAGAGCACCAGGTCCTGGCTGCCTGCGCGGAGTTATTCCAAAGGGGAGACCAGTGAGGAACTGGATATGGCCCTCAGCAAGTTCAGTGCTCTCCGAGGTGCGGGAGCAGCAGGGCTCGCCCTCCGAGCACACTGCTCTGTGCATGACCCACAGCGACCCATAGTGACCCACAGCGACCCACAGCGACCCATAGTGACCCACAACAGCGGCTGCAGGAAGGCTCTTAGCACTTGGAGAGATGGGGGGTGTTTGTATTGCACCCAGAGGGGCTCAAGGAACACGATAACCAGGCAAGAGGTAGATGTGTTGGCCGCAGAAGTATTTCAAAGGCTCTGAGAAGACATTATAGCAGCCTTCCAGTACCTAAAGGAACCTGTAAGGAATCTGGAGAGGGACTTTTGACAAGGGCATGTAGTGACAGGGTCAAGGGGATGGGGAAAAAAAAATCCCTCAGTGCAAGCGCTGACGGTGCCTGTGCTAAGGGCGCGCTCACATTCCATCCCGAAACGCTATGTTCCGTGCTGGGCAGCAGCTGGAAGCAGCTACACTCAGCCCCACAAGTACGGCACAGACACACGAACACAGGGATGGAGTTCAGGACCCGAAATAGGAGCCAAACAGACCATGGCAGCTGCACACAAAGGCGTGCTGGAAGCATGAGAAACGAGCAGTCTGCGTGTTGAAAGGGCAGCATCAAAACAGAGACAAATTTAGCCCAGATGTAGCCAGGGAGGAGGAAAGTTGCCAATCTGGGAGCAGGAGTAAAATTGCTTTATAAGCTGTGTCGTGTCTCTGTGGTGTTTTGAAACCAGGATGTGGTGCACATGTATGTAACTGCCACTGGTCGATGGGATCACACGCTGAAGCTTGGGAGAGCTGCTCATCATGGGACAGATCAGAGAATCGTATCAGAGAATCCCAGCCTGGTTTGGGTTGAAGGGACCTTAAAGATTACCTAGTCCCAACCCCCTGCCACGGGCAGGGACAACTTCCACTAGAGCAGGTTGCTCCAAGCCCCTGTGTCCAACCTGGCAGTGCCGGGGAGGGGGCAGCCACAGCTTCTCTGTGCACCCTGTGCCAGCGCCTCAGCACCCTCACAGGGAAGAGCTTCTGCCTCAGAGCTCATCTCAATCTCTCTGGCAGGTTCAAGCCATTCCCCTTGTCCTGTCCCTACAGGCCCTTGTCCAAAGCCCCTCTCCAGGTTTCCTGGAGCCCCTTTAGGCACTGGAAGACTGTTATAAGAACTCCCTTAAGCCTTCTCCAGGCTGAAGAAGCACTTCCCATAGAAGCATTTCTTCCTGCTCTCCCTCTATCCCTACTTTAGAGGGTCTGCTAGAATGGTATAACTAATGAAAAGCAATTTATGTGTGTGCACGAGCCCTATACCATTTCCAAGCCAGCCCCCATAAGCATCAGAGTGGTCAAGACCCACTTCTAGGCTCTGTCCATGGACATCTGCCTTATGACCATGAAAACTCCCAGTTTTGTGCTTTTCCTCCAAGAGGATTTAAAATAGAGGCTTCACTTAAAGTGGCACTAGACGTCCCAGTGCAGGCTGCATTAAAACGGGAATGGTAGTACCTGTAAACACACAAAACACCTCTCATCTCCCCCAAAACATATTCATCCTTCGCAGCCTGGCTGTGGCAGAAGTACAGTCTGAACCAGGTCACCCCTAAAGTGCAGGCTCAGTGCTCTGGAGCTGCCAGCAAGCCTGTACACATCCCGCTGCTCAGCTCAGTCACAGGATAGCTGCATCTTTATTCACAGAGGCAGATGAAAGGCATGAGATGATACAAGCAGCCAGCAATTCACTCGCTGACAAATGATCTCTCCACCCTTTCACTCCCTCCAAGTGCTCAAATCAGGTCCCCCCCTCCTGAAACCATAGCTGGAAAAGCAGAGCAATCATCAAAACACCGTGGGCTGCTGTATTACTCTCTGCTTTCTGAATTCCAAGCCACAATTTCAAAGGATAAACCTTTGCTCAAAGTATAAACAGCAGATAGGTGTATTTAAAGAAAGAAAGCAGAGCCTGTGACCTGCTCCTTTGGCCTCGGGGCTTGGAGAAAAGACCGTATGTAGTTGCCACAGAGCAGCCCACCCGGCCAGCTCTTGCTTATTGCTGTGCTGGATCTTCTAGTTGTATTTACAAAGACACTTGAAGTTTGGGAATTCCTTGGTGAGCATTTGGTATGAACGTGTCTCGTCCTGTCGGCTCGCTGTATGGGAAGGAGCTGCTGGGCAAACCTGCTCCCTGTTCCTGCTTGGAAACCCCAGCAGAGCCTATGGTCCACTGAGGATGTGCAGGATTTGCTCTAGTCTGTGATGAGCAACTCCCTCACTGCCCTGTGGGTGGGGGAATCCACCAAAACATGTCATGCTCTCACAACCCAACTGGCATTTCTCAGTCCTAGCTGAGAGGGAGGTCGCTGCTCCTCTGCTCTGCCCTGTGCTGGCACTCCTGGGTCTGGCACAGCACCATAAGCCCTCTAGAATCACTCTGAAGTGTGGGGAGAAGATGGTTGTGACTCAGAAATAGCCACGGGATGCTTTGCTCTGGTTTTATTACAGACAGAAGGAGCTGCTCTGGCGAGAGCGATTCCTCCCGCAGAGCAGGGCTCCAGCAGCCGGGCGGCACATAGCATATCCCGAGATGAAATACGGAGGCAGATCTCGAGGGTGCACCTGCCTGACTTTTTCATCTGCTTGGCAAGGCAAGGTGTCAGATGTGGGAGCTACGTGCACGGCAAAGGAGCGGGGTGGGATGGCACAGGGCCCACCTCCAGCGCTGACGCTCTCTTTGGTGAAGGGAGAACAGCAAGGATGCACTGAAAAGGTCATTTCTATTGTGGTGGCTGCTGCTATTGCAAAAGATGGGGAGCTCCTGGCTCCTCCTTCCAGGGTGAGATACAGGCAGGATGACCTCGCCACAGAGGGAGAGCAGAGAGCTTAAAAGGTCAGAGAATAAACCAAGCATTGAAATTGCAGGCAAGTCCAAGCAGGTTTCCTTGAAGGACACTAGAGACACTGCTGCTTGGCTGAGCACAGTAGACACCCCAGAGCTCCAACTCCTGACACCAACCAGATCCTTCAACATTTCCTTTTGCTTCTGCAGTGAGCTGAAAACATCTATCTTCTGAAATATTTATCTCACCCGCTTCCTCCAGGAGAGATCAAAAGGAGTGTGAAATGCACCTCTAACCTGATGGATCATCTGGTACCTTCAGTAAGTGTTAGCAGGGGGAGGTGCCAAATCACATTTACTTCTCAAGCCTGAGCTGTGAAGGATGAGACACCAATTATCACAGAAAGGCAAAGGGCACTGGCTGGTAGAGGTGCCAGGCATCTCACATTGCCTACAGCATGATATGAGTACAGAACTCTCCTGGGAGAAACTTAGTGTGAGGTTTTGAGGTTTTGAACACCAGGATAGAGGCATTGAGAGGGTGAGACGTACCCTTGTGTCCCTGGAGTGGGAAAACAGGCGCTCGGTGACATTGTGCCTTTCCCAGCTCAAGGAGGTCAGGGACAACCTGAGCCTTTTCCCACCCCAAGTGCAGTGTTTTGGCTATGTGTGGCTCACCTAATGGGATACTGGGAGTGCAGAGCATTACCTACCATTCCCACTTCTTGCAACATCTAGGTCTGATCCCTTTCTGGATCATATCAGATATTGCTACTTGCACCCAAACCAGCTTTCCTGCAGCCTCCCATCAGTGCCATTCCTGTGCAGCTCAGGGAAACTGATGGTAGTCTCTGACTGCAGCCTGCCTGTCTGCAAGGAGCAGAACAAGCTGGTATCCTGCACAAACCATGCACAGAGCCTTCAAGCAACGGTGGCAGGAGAGGACACTGCTTTTGACAGCAGTGATTTAGCAGCTATACATTCACTGTGAAGCTCTCCAGCCCAGCCTCAACTCACTGAGCTTCCTCATTCCTCACAAGGTGCCCAAGAATTGAGCTGAACTAGCAGCTTTGGTTCGTGGGGAGCGGCTGAGAACAAAACCTCTTCCCAAGGGAAGATGAGGTCCCCAAAGCAAGGGCATGGCTTGGAAAAGATCCAGCTGACATGAGTACATGCAGACTCCCCACATCCCAGCACAGAGCCCTGCCCCAGCCCCTAGAGGGGTTAATGTCATCAGAAGTGTCTTCAACGTTATGGTTTCTGGCCAGAACCCCTCCCAGTTCCAGTGAAATCTTTAGGCCAGCTTTGCAATCGCTGAGACACTGAGACAGTCCAGAATAGCTTTTCCACCCATTAAATTCAGTGACTTTCAGGATAATCATTTCTCAGCTGCCAGCATTGTGCCTGGGTGTACTGTACATGTCTGGGAGGGAAATCAACTGTTCCTGCACCTGCAAAGTAAAGAGAAAACCTCATTTCCTCCAGATTTGTGTGACCAGGCTAGAAAACACAGAATCTGTCAGATTCAAACCAAGCCAGCAGTCAGCAGGGACCATTTGGGATTTAGCTCTGTCCTTACCCTGGGAACTTCACTCCGCAGGAGGACCTAGGCAGGAAGAGCCCCCTGAGAGAGGAGCTGGCAGTCCCAGAGCCCCCTTCCCTGTCTGCTGCCCTCCTCTGACCTTTCCCTGCTTTGGGACAGTCTCCCAGGAAAACCCAGCCTAATGGAACTGCCTGATTCCTCCAGCTGTTCCCCCGTTTCCCACCCGTCATGCCAAGGCTGCTGTATTTCCACCTGCCACTGAGAACGTGGGGAGTGCTTAATGGATTATGGCTGGATAAACAGGAAAACTGAGCATATGTGAGTGCTTCAGCCTCCCCTGTGCCTGCTCCTGCTCAGAGTGAGCTTTGCTTGGCCTGAGGCTGCAGTGCCAGGCGTTCTGGGATGCAGCTCATGGAGCGCTCGGCTGCATCCTGGGGGATTGGGGAGGGCAGAGGCGATGAGCATCAATGGACCGAATGCAGGAGCTGCTGCTGTGCATTGACTTGTGCTCACTGATGTGTTCAGGGAGCCCCAGAGGAGCTGGCAAGAGCTGGTCTCTGCTCGAGTCCTGAGTGCTTTTGAGATAGGAGAGAGAGAAAAGCTCTCTGGAGCAGGCTGGTAGTGACATGCAACAGCCAGGATGTGTCTTAGAGGGGCAGGCATGGGGACGGAGCCAGAGAGGAGGAGAAGCAGCCCATGCCCCTGCATACCCTCAGCCAGCACAACTCCTACATTTTTGTATCAATGCCACATAACGGATTGATTTCTTGTTCTTTAAAACTCAGCCCTCATTCAGCAGTTTCACACACAAACAATATAGACACAGGAATGCACACAAAAGTATTAAATGAGATAGATCTTTATTAGAAGCTTCCAGCATATTTTGTCTGTTCTCCTTCTCCACCAAACTCCTTTTACTGGCTATACAGCTACTATAGTCCATATACATCTATATACTATAGTCCATATACATATATAGTCCATGTACATCTCTCTCTTACTATTTACTGCTACATATCTTGCTGTACAATTGTACAGTGTGCTCTCTTATCAGCAATAATACATCATCTTCAATACAGCCCTACACACATTAAAATTGCATGGCACTCTGCATTGCAAGGAAAGAGCTAAACCTCTCCTCTCTGGCTTCATAAGACAAACATTGCCACAGTGCTCCTACAAAGCTCATAGGCAGATCCACATGGGTATTCCAGGCAGACTTCCCCCAATATCTTTGTGGATCTGGTCCCTAAGTGCTTAACAAATCTCACATTCACGCTATTATCAGACTTGGGAGTGAAGAAAACCCATCACGAATAATGCCCTTGAGTGTTCAGGAAGGCACTAGAGACAGGGCAGAAACTGAACCATTTCTTTTTCACTTTTCACCCCATCATCCATACTGGATCCATTCCAGCCCTCTCCAGTCCCGCAGGGCTACCCATTCAGCCATGGCACCTCCTCATCTGCCATCTCATCCCAGCTAACTTTAGCATGGGAGGCAGTGGAGGGACCAAATCATGTGTTTAGACCCTTCATCTGGTGATTGTCAGAGCCAAACATATGCACATACCTTTTCCTCCTCTCCAACATGTTCCTGTCCTTAAGAGGGCTCTTTTCTGATGCTTCCCTGAGCTCAGCCCCTTTCCTTGCTGCCCCTGCAGCCCCTTTCCATCCTGCACAGCTCCTATACAGCTCTTCTCAGCCACCCCTTGCCCTGGCACTGGCTGCCCGTCCTCTGCTTACAACAGTGAGATGTGTCCTTGCAGCGAGTGCTCCTCACCCACAGGGACAAACACCACATCCATGGCTCTGGCTCAGCAACATGCAACAGAAACCTTATCTCAGCCTCCTGAACTGTTAGACTGAGCATGACTCCTTTGAGTGAAATCCAAGAGGATGAGTCCTCCTGCCCTGAGCCAAACCGGTCATGGGAGACCTGGTCCTTGCCAAGTGAGTGGCCTCTCCGTCCCCCTTTAGCTGCTTCCCAGCTACCCGCACACATCCAGCACATGCTTAGCAAAGCACCGTGTTTGCACAGAGACAGCTCTTCCCCAAAGCTCTCTCCTCTCCTCCTTCACAGATAACCCAGCTCTTTCATAGGAACAAAGCACTTTCCTGGTTTCTTTTATTCCGCCACCTTGGTGCCTTTGTTTGCCACCAGGTGACTTCAGCAGGGAGGACGGACAAGCAGCGCCCTGGAACAGACACTGTGACTACTCCTAGGAGACAGCACAAGTATGCAAAAAGTGTGCAAAGAAAGACCAGAGCAGCCCACACCAGGCTCCTCTTCTGTCCAATACAGGTACAAACTGCCTACCGTAGTGTCAGTGACTGTCACCGGAAGGATCCTGCTTCCTGTGACATCCTGTCCCCTTTAGGGATGGGTCCAGAGAAGTCTTGGTGCCGGGATCCAGGCTTTTCACACTTGCCCAAGAACAAAGTCCCCAGCTTCTGCCTCCAAACGTCCTCGCCTGTCCTCAGGAAGCACCGCTGGTGTGCACTGAGACTAGGTCCGGGGATGTCCTTCTCTGACCTGCCTTCGGAAGTAGCGGATGGCAGAAAGGGTGCCAAAAGTTGCCAGGAACACTGGAAAAGAGCCCAACACATTTCCAGAGTGAGGCTGGGTGCTCCTTCCCAACCTGAAGATCTTTTTCCAACCTTGAACATCACAAGCCATGTGGCTCACTCTGGTCTGTAGGACCTAGAGTCCCCTCCTGCCTTTCCTTTCCCCACCGCATTGTACCTGTTCCCAGTGTGTTCAGTCCTGGGCTGCCCATAGCCTGGCCGACAACATCTGATCCTATGTTTAGGCACACAGATCACACCACCGTTTCACAAGAAACTGCTGGTTTTAAAGGAAACACAACAGAGACTTCATGTGTATGATAGTGATGGGTGGTGGTTACATATACAGGTTCATGTGGAAATCTAATGGATCTAATCTCAGATAAGTAGGAAATCTCACCAGTGATTCAGGTTAATTTCTCAATTTTCTACTTCTGTTTGGACTTCCTGGTTTAAATTCTGACTTGATTTTGATTTTTGAGACATTGAACAGGCAAATTCAACTTGTTAGAACCCAAAATGTCACAAGAGAAGTGTGAGCCAGGATGTCACCTCCTTCCCAGGGTGCTTACTGCATGCTGGGTTATGCAATCCCAAGGGCACGAGGCCCATATCCCGTTTTTTGCACCCTCTCTGAGACCACGTCTTAGTCTAATACTAAGAAGGCAAGGAAGAGCAGGCCAAAAGCTCCTTGTGATGACTGCACTGAGCAACCTTAGCTAATAAGCTATTCTCAGCTCAGGGTGTCAGCTTCCTGTGTGACCTTAGTGGGGAACATTCCTGCCCCGGACAAGCAGCAGGAAGCCCTGGTCCCAGCACAAGACCCCATGGTAGGGGGTCTCTGGAGCCCACAACCTGAACCCAGCACCAGGGCAGGGTTGCTGTGCTCACTGTCCCATCCAGTTACCCTCACTCCTTGGGCCCCAGCTCAGCTAAGTGTTGCCCAAGCTTCCTCTGTCCCCACCAGTTATTCAAATGCTGTGGTTGGAAAGGAGAGGAACTGACAAAGCTCCTGCAGGACTCAGTGCACCAGGATAATACTTCAGCTACGCGGTATTTAGAGAAAAGATTATACATTTTCAGCACTTTAGAATAACATGGGCATTTGTTCCAGCTGAGATGAAGGAGTCTAAACCTGCATACTCAAGGCCCTGATTGAGCTTCTAGCCAGCGTGAATCCTAAAGAAGCCTCTCTTGCTCTGATACACTGGTACTGGTCTCTGTCAGAGGCTGGATGGAGCAGGGCTAAAGCTAGGAACACAGACTTGTCCTAAAGTTAAGTTCAAGTCAGCAGTCACTTTGTGTGGGGAAAGGACAACAGGAATAAGTGCTGAAAGAGGAAAGATTGAGATGAGATCTTAGGCAGAAGTTCTCCCCTGTGTGGGTGCCTAGAGAAGTGGTTCTATAAATCAGGATTGCCATTTCCATAGGAAATAAAAGGTATTAGAAACTAACGGGATGCTTTGGAAAAGCAGGAGAACGACTGCATTTTCCCACAGGCAGTGGTAGGTGTGTTAGTATCCCTGCCTTTCTCATTGCCATGTCTTCCATGAGGTCCTTCCCACCCCTCTCCCTCCAGGCTGGACACCATACGTACTGGTCTTCCAGGCATCCGGAGCCTGCAGGTCGGAGGTCTTCACTGCCCATGATGCAAAGGCACAGAAGACAAGGCACATGTCTTTGTGAGTCAGCGCCAGCGGTACCTCGGGGCTCCCTGTGAGGAGAAGAGCAAGAGGTTTGGGGTTTCAACCACCTCCTCTGCCACAGCAGGCTCTGGTCCCTCTGGGGCAATGAGTCCCTTGTACTCCCCCAGAAATACATCTTTGTCACACATTTTCCCTCCCAGAAGACCCTTTTTTCACCACTGGTCAAGTCAAACATGTCTATTTAGGACTCAGGTATATTTCCTAAGGAGAGAGGCACATTTTCCACCTCTCTCAGTTTTACACTTTAAGAACCCAAGGCAAATACTTATTAGTGCTGCCCATGGGCCTGAGAGGCACAGCCAGCGGACACACTGCCTCCAGGACCTCTGATTGCACCACCACCTCCCTGCGTATCTTCCCAGCCTGGAAGTGGGTCTGGATTTAGGAGAACACAATCTCTGGGGTGGCTGCCAATGCACTGGGGTTCCTCTGGGCAAGGTCCCCATCCATGTCCCAGGACAACAACACAGCTGCCACCAAGAAGCAGCAGTGCTCAGCATCTCTGCAGAAGGAGGTAGCCCTGAATGCTTTGCATGTCTTTCTCTGCTGGAGTTCCAGCCTGGCACAACTTGGAGACATAGGGGTTCTTTTGCTCCTGTGTTTATTTGATCAGGTTTTTAATTAAAACTGGCTTACTAATTAGCTACGACCATGGCAAAGGCGTTTTCCTCTGTGCAAACAGACTGGAAGCTCTATTTTGAGGCACCCTTTGGGATGACTCATTCATTGTTTAGTTTTAATATTACCTATGAGGCACTGTGGCTCTAAGCATCATATAAGCTTTAAGACAAATATGCTGTGGTAGTGGGTCAGACTTGTTCTCCCTTTATCTTGTTCCTTTTACCTGCCTCCCATAACAGACAATGTTCAGGTAACCTCTGAGGTCTCGGGAGGGTGTTTTTCAAACTAGCATATGTTTTATAGTCCCCTTCACCTTTTCAGCTGGAAGCTTTGGACACGTTCCACTCTGTGCACACCATTTCCCCCACCAATATCAGCTCCATTAGCAGCCTCAATAGCAGAGCAGCTCAGCAGCCATTGCCTTGTCTCAGGGGCATGAGTTCTTTGGTACAGAAGGATTTTGCTGCTCTGCCTCCCATTCCCTCATCAGAAACACAGCTATGTGGCTCTGCAGGCAGGTGCAGGGTGGGGGATTCCCATCTCTGCCTGGCCTTGCAATAAAACCAACCATGTTTAAGACAGCTAAATGCTTCAGTAAGTTTTCCTTGGCCAGAGTGTAAAAATATAGATCAGATCCACAGCAAGTTACATCCATTCAGGGGCACAAGGGCTGGGCTGAGTTTCAGGCTGTTGCATGCATGCTGTCGTGACCACCTCTGCCCCAGGACTGGAGTTGGTGGGGCAGAAAGCGAGTTATGCACAGAATATACCCGGATTCCCTGACTGTGCCTCCTGCAGTACTGGAAGCCAGCATTGTAGCACGTGTTTGGCGTAGGGACAGCATGAGCATCACAAGAGAGAGACAATGTGACACAGCATGTCATGATACCTGTACCGTGGTACCTGGTAACCTACATGGTTTCCAGTACCTAAAAGGGCCTAAAGAAGTCTGGAGAGGGATTTTCTACGTGGACATGTAGGGACAGGCCAAGGGGAATGGCTTTAACCTGCCAGAGGGGAGATTGAGATGAGCTCTGAGGCAGAAGCTCTTCCCTGTGAGGGTGCTGAGGCGCTGGCACAGGGTGCCCAGAGAAGCTGTGGCTGCCCCATCCCTGGCAGTGTTCAAGGGCAGGTTGGACACAGGGGCTTGGAGCAACCTGCTCTAGTGGAAGGTGTCCCTGCCTGTGGCTGGAGTTGGAACTGGATGAGCTTTAAGGTCCCTTCCAACACAAACCATTCTATGATGGTGATAGCTTTAGCCACGCTCCCCCTGCTGAAGCCCAGGGCTGCTACGTGCCAAGGTTAACACGCCAGGAGTGTGATTTCAGACCAGTTACACCAGCCCACCAAAGTGCTCCCATCTGTAAAGGGACCTCAGTGCCACTGTGGCTGGAGTGGAGATGGCTGCAGCAGGGCAGGGTTGGGAGCTGGGCAGGGACCACACAGAGCAGAGGCACATCTCTACGGGGCTCTCGGGCAGGGGGTAACAGCACTTTACCTCTCAGTGCAAGGGCCATGTCCAAGTCTGACTGTGCCTCGCCTCTTCCCAGCGGACCCAGTGGGACGAGGGGGAGATTCCCTCCAGATCCTCTCCGCACAAGAGCCTGGGGTGCTGGAACTTGGCCTCCAGTGAGATGCCTTTGCAGGAGGGTCTTCAGAGCCCCCACAGCTTTCTTCACCTCAGAGGTGGGAGTGATTGAGAAAATCCCTCTCCAGCCTGCCCTGTTCCGCGGCCCATCTGCAAAGAAGTGTTCATACACCTCAGGGACTGAGATAACCACGGAGTCTTTGACTGGAGCCAAATCGGGATCCTCATTCTGCAGCTCAGTGTGGTCCAAGCTGCTGAATTTCTTTCGCTTCCTATCTTTACTCTTGACTTTTTTCCTCTTTCCTTCTGGTTCATTGAAAAAATACTCATACAGTTCAGGCAAAGACATGTCCCTTTCCAGTGTTTTTCCCCCCTCCACTGAGTTCCATGTTCCTTCTTCTTCCCCTTGGGAGTCACAGAACAAATAGTCATACATCTCAGGCCAAGTCACGTCCAGGGTGTCTGTTCCTGCAAAGGTCCCGGCTTCAAAGCAAGGGGGTCCCAGCTCCCTGGGGACCTCAGCTGCAGGCTCCACATGAGCTCTGTCTGCAGCATCCCCTCCAAAAGCCACCACACTCTTGGGATGGAGAGGCTTCTCCTGGCATGCCCCTCCTGGAGGAGTTGTGGCTCTGCTGGCATCTCTGGCACCATCTAGGATCACAGTGTCACGTACACCCAAAGCACCAGCCTGCCCTGGCTTGGGCTGCTTGGTGGCCTTCACCTTCCCCAGGGGCTGTGCCACCAGCTCCTTCACCTTCTGCTTTGGGGCAGTGCTCACGGTTGGACCACCCTCATCCAAACCAGGGCTGGGCACCGGCCGCTTGCTCTCCACTGCTTCCTCACTACCCAACCTCGCAGGAGCTGCCTTGGCTGCTGGTTCCTTCACCTTCTGCTTCAGAGATATGCTTGCAGCCAGATCACCCTCATCCCCACCAGGGCTGGGCACCGGCTGCTTGCTCTCTGCTGCTTCCTCACTCCCCAGCCTCACAGGAGAGGGTTTAGGTGCTGGTTCCTTCACCTTCTGCTTCAAAGGAGTGCTCACAGCCATGTCACCCTCATCCACACCCGGGCTGGGCACCGGCTGCTTGTTCTCGGCTGCTACCTCACTGCCCAGCCTCACAGGGGCCGGCTTGACTGCCTTCTCCTTCACCTGCTTTGGGGTTGTGCTTGCAGCCAGATCACCCTCATCCAAAGCAGGGCTGCTTACTGGCCTCTTGTTCTCTGCTGCTTCCTCACTCCCCAGCCTCACAGGAGCCGGCTTGGCTGCCTTCTCTTTCACCTTCTGCTTTGGGGATATGCTCGCAGCCAGATCACCCTCATCCACACCAGGGCTGGGCACTGGCCACTTGTTCTCCGCTGCCTCCTCACTCCCCAACCTCACAGGAGCCAGCTTGGCTGCTTTCTCCTTCCCTTTGCTCTTCCGTGAGGACAGTGGTGAGCTTAAAGGTGCTTTCATGGGCACCACAGTCCCCTGTCCCGCAGCACCCACCAGCTCCTTGTCCCCCGGGGCTGCCTCGGTGGCACTGGCTCCACGCTGCCGGCGGCTCTTCCTTGTCTGCCCTGGCACCTTGGGCCTCACAACCTCTGGGGAGCCAGCC